AAAAAAAAAAAAAAAAAAAAAAAAAAAGAGTGGATTGGCCCCACCTTTCATCTTACACAAAAGTAAGTCAAAAATACACTTCTGAAAAGCTTTACTTAGAATTTTTTTTAGAAGAAAATATAGGAGAATTTTTTTTTACCTCGTAAACTTGGAACAATAAGCACAGGATGTAAAGGAAGACAATACATTTGACCACACTGGAATTTAAAACTTTGGTTTACTAAAATAGTTTGTTTTGAGACAAAGTCTTGCTCTGTCACCCAGGCTGGAATGCAGTGGTGCAATCTTGGCTCACTGCAATCTCTGCCTCCTGGACTCGAGCAATTCTTCTGCCTCAGTCTCCAGAGTAGCTGGGATTACAGGCGCCCGCCACTGCACCCAGCTAATTTTTGTATTTTTAGTAGAGACAAGGTTTCACCATGTTGCCCAGGCTGGTCTCGAACTCCTGACCTTGTGATCCACCCGCCTCAGCCTCCCAAAGTGCTGGGATTAGGCGTGAGCAACCACCCAGCCAAAGATACTGTTTAAAGCTTGAAAAGATAAGCCATAGACTGGAAGAAGATATCTCCAATCCATGTATTTACAAAGAACTAGTTTCCAGACTATGTAAGAACTTCTATAATCAACAAGGAAAAAACACAACTCCATAGAAAAATGGGCAAAAGATGGGAATAGGCAGTTGACACAAGTGAAAATCCAAATGGCCAATAAACATCAGTGGATGCCCACCTCATCAATAACCAAGGAAATGCACATGAAACCGCTATCAGATACCATGCCACACTTTTCAAATGGAAAAAATGATCAAGTCTCACTGTCCCAGTAGCAGGATCACTGCCAGTGAGGGCGTAAACTGGTTCAGCTACTTTGGTGTGTGCTTTTATGTTTCACATCTTTTAATGGAGAGAAGACAATGCATAGTGTGCACAAATCTTTTTTTTTTTTTTTTTTTTTTGAGATGGAGTCTTGCTTTGTTGCCTAGGCTCACTGCAAGCTCCACCTCCCGGGTTCATGTCATTCTCCTGCCTTAGCCTCCCAAGTAGCTGGGACTACAGGCACCTACCACCACGCCCAGCTAATTTTTTGTATTTTTAGTAGAGACGGGGTTTTGCCATGTTAGCCAGGATGGTCTTGATCTCCTGACCTCGTGATCTGCCTGCCTCGGCCTCCCAAAGTGCTGGGATTACAGGCGTGAGCCACTGTGCCTGGCCAGAGTGCACAAATCTTAAGTGTATACCGGGGTAACCACCACCCACATCGAGACATAGAATCTCTCCAGAACCCCCACTGGGTTCCTTCCTGCCCCTTCCCACTTTATACCTCCCTCCTCAAGGTACCATTATCTTTACTGCTTTTCATTACAGGTTTGTTTAACCTGTTGTAGATTTCATATAATTTTTGGTTTCTTTCATTCAACATACATGTTAGATCCATCCATGTTGCTGCATGTAGAAGTAGTTTGTTCCTTTGTATTGCTAAGTAGTATTCCATTGTATAGATACACCATAATTTATTTCTGCATTCTTCTATTGATTGGAATTTGAATTCTTTCCAGTTTGGGGACTGTTATGAATAAAGCTGCTAGAAATATTCTTGATGTGAAGTATAGCAACTCTGGTGAGCAATTTGGATTCTCTAGTTAACTTGAAAAAGTGTATACTCTATGACCCAGCAATTCCATTCCTAGGAAAATATGTTAGAGAAGCTTTCATACATGTTAAGAGGCATGAGTAAAAATGTCTAGCTGTTTTGTTAATAGTTGCAAAAACAAAACAAAATAACCTTAAATGCCCACCAACAGGAGAGTGGCTCAATAAATTATGGTATAGTCATACGGTGGAATTCTATATATAAGTAAAAGTAAATGAAATACAGCAGATCACATCAACATGACTCACAAACAATATTGAGTGAAAAAGCAGGATGTAGGAGAAAACATACTTTAAGATGCCATTTATATAAAATTTGAAAATGTGTAGTACCCACCACCATCACAAAGTATGGTACAATATATTGTTTAGGAACACATCTATATAGTAAAAGTACAAAAAAAAAGGGATGGCATTGACAAACAGAAAATTCAGAATGATGATTTGCTTCAGGTGGGAAAGGAAGCAGTCATGAAATGAGGGGTATTGGGGACATTAAATTGATGAGTGCTGAACTGATGAGTGCTTCAGTTCTTAAGTTGGGTGATTAGTATACAGGTGGTTATGTTAGTCTTTAAACTTGAAATACATAATATTTTAAAGAGACAGAGATGGGGATAATTAAGGGCAGTGATGTGCTGGTAAATGTTTGACAATTGGCTAGGGGAGGGAAGTGATTTGTAGTATTTGCCTCTTTCCATGGCACAAAAACTCCCACCCTGGCTGGTTTCAAATTGCCAGTGCAGCATCATCTGGCTCACCAAATTCCTGAATGTGTAATAACAGTCAGCCCTTATGAGGCAGTAGAAGCCAACTCAGGCATACCACTCAGACACTGAATGTGGGAGCAGAGTGCTCTGAAGGCCAGAATCAGGGATACAGGCTCCCTGAGGGCTTTCCCAACAACCTAGGAACCTAGGAGATGGGTGGAAGGCTGGATTGTATTATGTATTTATTGTTATTAAGTTACCCCTAAAGCTAAGCAGCTTAAAACAGCAAATATTTATTATCTTGCACAATTTCTGGGAGTCAGGAATCAGAGAATGGCTTATCTGGCTGGTTCTGGCTCAGTCTCTCTCATGAGGTTGCAGTCATGATATCAGCCAGAACTTCAGTCACTTGAAGCATTGCCTTGGGCTGGAAGATCAGCTTCCAAGCTCACTCGAGTGGGTGCCGGCAAAAGCCTCCATTCCTTGTCTCGTGGACCTCTCCATAGTGCTGCTCAAGACATGGTAGCTGGCTTGAGAGGAAGAGATCAACCAAGATGGAGGTGCAAATAATTTTATGACCTAATCTCAGAAATGACATACCATCATTTGTATCCTGTTATTCACATACACCAACACTGATAATATGTGGAAGGGAATGACACAAGGATACAGATACCAGGTAGCAAAGATCATTGGGGAGCATCTTGGAGGTTGAAGGTGAGTGCTGGTTGTCCTGAGATGCTTGTAATGGGTTCGTGGATGCCGAGAGACACGGAGAGGCCATCCCCTTTGTTTTGCAGCTGGGGAAATTGAGACATTTAGAGATTTACTTGAGAGTATGCAACTTCTTTTCTTGGTGTGGGTCAGGAGTCCAGGGTCTTGGTCTTGCCTTGGTACCCATGAGAAACACCAACCCCACCTCTCCCTCCCTGACTTCCCTCTGAAGGTGCAGATGCTGGGGTCTTAGCACATCCAAGATTAGATCAAGGTCATCTTACCCAAGCTCTTAAGAATTTCTTTTCCCCCATAGTTGTTTCCTTACATTCTTTGCAGCCAAAACAAGACAATCCTCCTATTTCCACATACCCTGCCCCTCCCACAGAGGCTGTTATTAACACATCCCTAGTAGCCCCAAAGAGAAGCATCTGCCACTGTGTTGGCATTGCTGGACACAAGTTCATGTTGGCCTTCTGGAATCCCACTGCCACTTGGAGCCTGGTGTCAGACTGTTTCAGGACTCTGTAATCTCTCAGCAAAATGAAACACTGCCCCAAACTGGAAGTAGGCATGAGGAAGATGAGCTGCCCTGCTTTTTCTTGCTGGATGCTGTTTACATGGGTTATTCAGTCTGTGAAAACACATCAAGTTGAATACTTGTAATCTGTACAATTTTATGTAGGAATATTATATTTAAATATTCATAAATTTATAATTTATGTAAGTTTACAGATTCATAAATTTAAATACTGAAACTTAAGATTAAAAAAAAAAATTCCCAAACCCAGGGGCGTAATGTATTTGGGGCCTAGACAGAGAGAACCATTCTTTCTGTTCTTCAGATGCCATAGGGAAGTGAAGCCTCAGTGACACCACAGCATCTTCTGCAGTAAGGGGGCAATTGGTAAAGGGAAAATAATGGGGGTTCCCAAAGGTCAGGATAAAAAAGTTCAGCCCTAAGTGCTTTCTTCTACTAGACAGACCGTGGGATTGGGGATGCAGGGAGAGACACTGGGGTCAAACCAGAACCATCAAGTAGAAGACCCAAAAAGGTACACGCTGCTTCTTTTCCTTGAGGATACTCCACTTTTAATCCTTATTCTCCATATCCCAACCTGGGATCCACCCTCCCAGGGACCAATTCACCATCCGTCTCTTGACTCTGGGAGCCAAAAGACCAGGTGGTGACAAAAAGAAGACCCAGGCCAAGGTCCTCTGGTAGGTCAGAATTTTCCAGTTTTCCCTTTCCTTTCTAAGCCAGGACAGGGGAAGTCCTGCCACTCTGAGTTCCACCCTCAACACCCATCCTTTTGATGTGGAAGATACACTATGGGGAGGTGACTCTCAAGATGCCCAGCAGAATAGGCTGAACTAGTGCAGGGGTTTGCCTTAGTCGCCAGATAGATGGGAGTTCAAGCATGGGCACAACTAATGTCTCAACTCTGGGGTCCTTGTAGTGGCTTCCTTGGTATCTCTAAATGGATCTGTTCCCCAGGGTCACCAGCCACTGCAGCTAGCCAGGTGCTGCAGCCTGGCTGGAAACTGGAGCTGTCTCTCTTGCCAATTTGCCTGGGCACTGTTTTGAAGCCATCCTGGACTAGATTCCAGTTCCCAGCCCCTCCCCGAGCTCATTGTCTTCTAACCCATCAAGGCCTGTGGTCAGGCTCAGACCTTCTAGATCCCCACTGATGCACTACCCCATCCTTGTCAGGGCACCTTCTACCTCTGTGCCAGTCCCTGTGCTTCTATCCACTTTGAGGCCCCTTTCTGCAGCCCTTCCTTTGCACCAGCAGAGTCCTAAGAGTGCTTCCCAGTCCGTCCTGTGGTCCTGGGCCCCACCTGAATCCCACAGCCCTGGGCTAGTTCCCTGGTTGCCCCATCAAAACTATTCATGGCTGGCCAGCCCCGATGGCTCATGCCTATAATCCTAGCACTTTGGGAGGCCAAGGCAGGTCTTTTGCCTGAGCTCAGGAGTTTGAGACTAGCCTGGCCAAAATGGCAAAACCCCATCTCTACTAAAAATACAAAAAATTAGGCTGGGTGCGGTATCTCACACCTGTAACCCCAGCACTTTGGGAGGCCGAGGCAGGCGGATCACGAGTCAGGAGTTCGAGGCCAGCCTGACCAACATGGTGAAACCCCGTCTCTACTAAAAATACAAAAATTAGCTGGACATGGTGGCACACACCTGTAATCCCAGCCACTCAGGAGGCTGAGGCAGGAGAATCGCTTGAACCTGAGAGGCGGAGGGTACAGTAAGCTGAGATCACGCCACTGCACTCCAGCCTAGGCAACAGAATGAGACTCCATCTCAAAAAAACAAAACAAAACAAAAAAAAACACTTAGCTGGTCGTGGTGGCACATGCCTGTAATCCCAGCTACTCAGGAGGCTGAGGCACAAGAATTGCTTGAACTCAAGAGGCAGAGGTTGCAGTGAGCAGAGATTGTGCCACTGCACTCCAACCTGGGCAACAGAGCAAGATTCTGTCTCCCAAAAAAAAAAGCTATTTGTGGGAAGTATTTTCCCTGCCATCTGAGATCCAGACACTCTGTGACCAGGCCCCTAATAACCTGGGGACAAAGTGTCACCACAGTGGCAAAGACTTGGGCCAGTGATAAAATACAGAATATGATATGGGTTGGGGAAAATGCCCTGGGGGATGTGGGGGCCCCCAGCCCCTGCAGGTCTGACCTGCTTCCTCCTGTGTATGCTGGGCAGCCCCCATCTCATCCCTGCACACCCGCTCAGGGATGCTCATGTGGTAGGGCTGTGGGAGGTATGGCCTTGAAAGAGATGGGCTGGGCTGGGATGAGAGCTGGGGCAGCCACTCCCCCTTCCTCTGTGACTAAGATTCTCTCACTCCAGACCATTCTCTCAGCACAGAACAGGCCCTGTGCCCCTCCTGGATGGGAAATTGCTGCCCCACCAATCTCCAGCCCAGCCTCAACCAGCAGCACAGCACTCCCCACTGGGCTCCTTCTGCAGTCATACTCTTCCCTGCCCACACCTTGTTCTCCTGCTTCCTGCCTCTCTCTTCCATCAAGCACCAGAACCATTTCCTTATGAAGAGTTGCTACTGCTAACGCCAAAGCCTGGGACACGTTCCAGAGACACCAACACAGAGCCGTAAAGGTTCCAACTATCTGGACTCTCAGGGTTGGAAATCCCAGTGCCCTTTACGAGAGGTTCTGGGAACCTGGGCTGTACTTGAGGAATGTTAAAGGACTTGCCTTTTGCACTTCTGGTTCCTACAAAATCCCATTTTTTTAAAAAGGGGACTTTTTTTTTTAAGGGATGGGGTCTTGCTAGGTTGTCCAGGATGGAGTGCTAGTCACAGGTGTAGTAATAGTGCAATACAACCCTGAACTCCTGGCCTCAAGCAGTTCTCCAGTCTCAGCCTTCTGAGTAGCTGGGACTACAGAGACATGCCCAGCTCTACTCTGGGGCTTTTGATACAGAATAAAGGTGGGTAAGGGATTCTCTGATGGTTCTCGTTCAAATTTCTTAGAAAATCACCCTCACCCTCTCTCAGTGCTGTGGGTAGTGCTGATTCAGAGGCAAAAGTAAGACTGAATCTTACTTTTGACTGGAGGATCATCTCAGAATCTGCAGTAACAAAAACAGTGATCCCAGGGAGACTTTGGGGCCCCAGGCTCTCAGGGGAGCAGCAGTTCCAGCAGCTCTCTGGTGTCACAGTGCCCAGCAAGTCCCTGGAGCCAGAGGCAGGGCTGTCCCCTGGCACTGCCTTTGTTCTCCTTCTGTGAGAGGACAGCCACACCTGCTTCACCCCATCTTACCCGTGAACAGATGTGCTTAGGGATGTCTAAGTGGCAGGGCTTTGGGACAGTATGGTCAAGGGCCTGAAGTCTTGGTCACAGAGGATCAGAGGCTGAGGTACAACATCTCAAACTATCACTGGAGTGTGTTCCTTGTAACCTAGTCAATCAAGATGATGTGAGCAAAGTGTTCCAAGATCAAAACCAAGTTTGAGTAACACTGCAGGCTGAGAGGTGGTCACAGTGTACATTAGCATAGTAAAGGTTCTGAGAAGACCTATGGGAAATGAACTTATTTCACTTAAATATAAGATTCTTAAACTTATTTGATCATAGACTTTGCAGGGGAAGGGAAGGTACAGAACACATCCTAATAGAACACCTTTTATACCTTTTAGAACCACTGCTCACTTAGCCTCTTTCTTCACCAGAAAAGGTGTCAGGGAGAGCCCTGACCCCCACTGCACCCACCAGGTTTGTTCCAGGTGTGACCAGATGCTGGTGTCTTGTCACAGGTACAGAATCTGCTGCTCTGCCTATGGAGTTGCCATTCTTCTGTTTCTTTACTTCCTTAATAAACTTGCTTTCACATTATTATTATTATTATTATTATTTGAGACGGAGTTTCACCCTATTGCCCAGGCTGGAGTGCAATGGCACGATCTCAGCTCACTGCAACCTCTGCCTCCTGGATTCAAGCGATTCTCCTGCCTCAGTCTCCCAGGTAGCTGGAATTACAGGCACATGCCACCATGCCCAGCTAATTTTTTGTATCTTTAGTAGAGACAGGATTTCACCATGTTGGCCAGGCTGGTCTTGACCTCATGATTCGCCCACCTCAGCCTCCCAAAGTGCTGGCATTACAGGCGTGAACCACCATGCCCGGCTGCTTTCACTTAAAAAAAAATAAAAATAAAAAAAAAAAAAAAAAAAAAAAAGGCAATTTCAGGCCTCATCCTAGACCTACTAATACAATCTGCGTGTGATAGGATCACCAGGTGACTTGCCACAAACTGACTTGAGAAGTACAGTTATACATCTTCTATTATTCCACTAAGATGACTAGTGGGTCAGTACCCCATTCAGGTGGGGCCTCCAGGCTGCCTAACTAGAGGTAGTTGACATATGTTGAACTGAGCACCTGTGTTTGGGGAAATCCCCATGTTATGAGTCCTTTCTTCCCAAGGGACCATAAGAAGAACTAAGGGGGTCTGCCAGCCATTGAAGAGGACTTGTTTTTGCAGAGGCTATAAAAAAGAACCAAGGTGCTCTTCCAGCTTTGCTTTCCCATCCCAGTCCAGATGTCTCTTCCACAGAGATGCCTGCAGATTCCTAGGCATCCTGACCCAGAGATGGTCACCTTGGGGATTCGACCAGAGTTGTTCCTGAGAAGCAGTCATAGCCTCCCCTACAAGGTCACAAGGGCGAAACACAGTCACCCTTAGCAGCTCTCCTCCAAACCCCCAGAAGGAAAAGCAAGCCAGCAGCTAGAGAGAAGACATTTTATTGAGAGTGTTACATAAATAGCTATAGAAAGCTGGGAGGACTGAAGGGAGTGACTGCCATCTCCCTCTGCACAGATCACTAAGGAACACATGGGGAGGGGATTAGGGGAAGGCGTGGTCCTCCCGAGAGAGAGGACACCCTGAATGCTATCTGGCATGAGGATGATGATGAGAGAGAGAGAAAGGTGAGAGGGACTGACAGCCCAAATGTCATGGGGAGGTACAGATAGGAGCCAAAGAGGTCACAGCACTTGGAAGTCACTGGGTCAGAGCCTGTATCACATCCTTTACCAGCATGGTGCCAATCACCATTTTCTCACTGTTGACAGTCAGCTGGGCAGCTCCAGCTGGCCGGGCATCCAGAGTCAGCAGAACGAGGCTTCCACTGGTTAGTGTCCTCCCTGCAAACCTGAGGTGGGAGTAGAAGGGGTGGGGAAGAGCTGCTAAGGGTGACTGTGTTTGGAAGGGGATCAGCGCTTGGGGGTCCTCCTTCAAACCAGGGCCCCCATGCTCATCATTTCCCCTCTACTGGTGGCCTAGTACCTGTACTCATCAGATGTCCCACAAGGAACACGACCCAGGTTGGCAGTGGCAGTCACTTTCTGCACCACAATGTGGTCACTCCGACAGGTGTCTGGCAGCATGAGCTTCTCTGTGATCTCATTCATGCCCATCAGCTTTCCTGGGGGCAGAGGTCGTGATGAGGGCAGAGGCCGTGGTGGGTACAGAGGCCAGCACCTGGGTCTGCTTACTAAGCATCAAGTTCTCCCAGGCTGGGAAGGTATCATGCAAAGGGCAGGTCAGAATCTAAATCATCAGTCTTGGGGAGACGGTACTACGCTCTCAGACTGGGCCCTCCATCAGGAAGCCTTCGTTAGCCTCTGTACCCCTCCCACCCAGGCCTTTATCCATGTTGTTACCAAAGACTGATTTGGCGCTTCCTCCATCAGACATCTGGGCTACCAGCCCCTTGAGAGTGGCCAGTCAGTTCTTAAGAGGTTCCCCAATCCTGAACCTCATACCCTTTGATCTTTCCTGGGCGGCCCTCCAACCCACATTCAACTCCCACTCAGCTCCTGGAGGCTAAGCCCTCACAAAAAGATGACAGGTGGCTGCTGTGATCTCTCAGCCAGAATCCAGTAGTCACATGCAGCATTCACAGGTACATTTTTAATTGTACCTCTGCAGCAGCAGCTCCAGACCTAGCCAGGGCTCCTAAAGCCCCCAAACCTTCCCAGCATCCCCAGAACTCCTCATTCTGCAGGGCTGACTTCTCTCCACTCACATGCTCTAGGCCCCCAGTGGGAGCCCCTCCATCTGCCCTCCTGCACACCAACTTTCTCTTGAGCCTCTTTCCTCCTTCTGCTGCTTCCCCCATTCTTCACCTCCTTTTAGAAACTGACATCCCTCTCCTGTTTCTTCCATCCCCTTCATTCCTGACTAATAACATTTTCTTGTATTTGTTCCTTCAATCTGTTCATGTTCAAGTATTCCGGTCTCCAAAAAATCCTTTCCAGAAGCGAGATCCTTCATCGTGCCAATGCCCTGTCTCCCTCCTCATTCATGGCTAAAGTCCTCCAAAGAGGACTCCATTTACTTGAGCCCTGGTCTCCCTCAACCCACTGCAATTGGCCTCTGTCCCTCCTTTAGCAATGACCCTCTCTCCCTCAGGTTGGCAGTAGCCTTTTATACGCTGACTCTGAAGGTGTTCGGTAACTCTGGTTTGCAGACACCTTCTGCCTTGTTGTCTCTCCTGGTTTTTCCCCCACCTCTCCCTGTGCTCCTTCTCTTATCCCTCTCTTCCTCTTTCTTCTGCAGAATTCAGGTTTTCCCCCAAGGTTCTGTCCTTGGCATTCCTATTTTCTCCCACCTCCCAGAGTGATCTCATTCATATTCACAGCTTCCATTACAACCTCTATGCTCATGACTCCAGCTTCAAAGTGTTTCCTGGGCATAGACCCATATTTTCAGTTGCATACTAAATAGCTCCTCCTGAATTTTCCAAATGCATTTCAAAATCAGTTTATCCAAAACTAACCATGATCTTCCCTCCTCCCTTGCCCAAGCCACTCTTCTTTCTTGTAGGCCAGAGGTTTTACAAATTACAGCCTCCAGGCCAAATCCAGCCCACCACCTGTATGGCGCACAATGTTTTAAATTATTTTTAAGTGTTGGGGGAGCAATCAAAAGAAGATTAATATTTCATGACACATGAAAATTATATGAAATTTAAACTTCAGTATCTATAAATATAAATGGACATCTCTTGGAACACAGCCATACTCATTCATTTACATTACTGTCTGTGGATGTTTATATGTTTAAACAACCACAGTCGTGTTGTAACTGCAACAGATATCACATGATTCTCAAAGCCTAAAACATTTATCTTTGGCCCGTTACAGAAAAAGTTTGCTGACCCCTGGTCTAGATGAAGGACACCACCATTCTCCCTACCATTCAAGCTGGATGTTCTGGAGTCAGCTTCTATACTTCCCTTTCTGCCCACTCCCAGGGAGCACTCACCCTGTTCCTTCTTAAACTCATTTTCACTCATGAACACAGGGGCCATCAGCTCCCCAACAGGTGGCTGAATGGAGACATAGAACTGTCGGGTCTGGGTGCTGGAAGGGTGGGAGGAAACAGAGGAAGAATTAAGGCCGTCATCTCTCCCCTCACCTCCCACCCTGCGTAGAGGCACAGCTTGGAGGCAGTGAGAGAGTGAGGTGAGGAATGAGGGCCTGAGATGGCTTCCAGACCCATCCAATCATGATGTATCCCCACTAAGCACCACCTCCATTTCTGGTTCATTGTTACCCTGACCCTTTCCAGCCCATCCTCTCACCCCCACCTTGAGTTGGGCACATACCACAGCTGGAAGTTGGCTGCCTGGGTTGAGTCACAGAAATTAATGCCCATTACAGCAGTGGCAGTTTCTCCAGGGGCCAGGGACTCTGAAGTGGTATAAGGCAGTGAAGGGGAGAGGGAGGACCACCATCACCTGATAGGTCTAGAACCCAGCCTAGCCCTACTCTCCCCTCCACTGTTACAGCTGACCAACCCTCTACAGAATCTTGGCTTTCTTGGCCCCTGGAGACTGTTCCTGGTTTCCTTCTGAACTCTTAAGGTTGCTTTCCCCCACTCACCCTCACCACATTTAAGTTAGTCCTGAAACAACCAAGGCTCAAATCTGCTGCTGCAAGCACCTCCTGCCCTGATATGATCTTGCTTATTTCATAATCTGTCTTGTTCACCAGAGTGTTGATCACATTAGATGCTATCTCTGTGTCCCTATAGCTTGGCCCCTGGCCTGGCACAAGAAGAGTATCAACAACCACAGAAAGACTGACTCTGCCCAGGAGCCTCCTCCTCCACCCCATCCAAAGCCCTTCGCACCAATTTCAGGAAATTCTTGGATGCTGATGCCAGCAGGCAGTTTGGGAGTGCCCACATGCAGGCCCTTGATGGGGGTATCAGAGCTGTTGGAGAAGTGGATGTGCACAGACACCATGTGGGGGTCCCCGGAGAAAGGTTGGCGGCTGAAGGTGTAGTCCACAACCAGCCCCTCGCCAGCTACCCGGTGCAGCAGCTCCTGCCGCCCAACACGCGACACTGGACTCAGAAGCTAGAGTGGAGGAGTAAGGAAGGACAGAACTGAGCAAGACGGAGAGAGCCTGTCCCAGCATTGTCCCCTAGGGCCATCCAGCAACTGGGACTCAAAGCTATCACATCCTCCATCACATCCACCCCCCACACACATCCACACCATAGGATGCAGCACAGGGATGTGTCCCTGCTCCAGCCCAGTCACCTCCTCCATCCCACTCACCGACGGTACCAGGGTGGAATCTGTGAGTGTCAGGCCCTCCAGGTCAGCAGCCAGACTGGTAGACACAATTGCTGGGGGAGACACAGGCTGGACACTGGGAGGGGTGACTGTGGGAGTAGATAAGACTATGATGAGGCAAAGTGAAGGTGACTTGGGTTGAACAGGGAGCCTAGAGATCAAGGAGTACGCGTTTCAGCACCATGGACAGCGGGGGGGGGGGGGGGGGGGGGGGGGGCGGGGCCGGCAGCGCACATGCCTGCCTGGAGGCTCTGGCAAAATACCCATCCCTAGACCTCAACCCCAGACCTGGGGAGGTCAGCCCTGCTGCCCTCTCAGGCCTGAAGATATGTTCTGTCTGCTCCCCTGCTCCCACAAGACCTGAGGAACCTGATCCAGAATCCCTGTGGGCCGTTCTAATTCATGCTCCCCAGGCCTCCTTTCCCCTGTGACTTTTACCACCCAAACTCACAGTCCTCTAGATCAAGCAGGGAGATCTCCTTGGTTGCAGGGGCCCTTTTGCTGCTGGGAGGCTGAAAGAGAAAAATGGGATATGGGTGTGGGTAAGGGGAGCACCTTGGCATGTTCTGGGTTGGGAAGATGTCATGGTCTGTTCTGGATGGTAGAGAGAGATGTCTGAGTCTGGTCCAGAGGGTGGGGAGGGCCCTGGCCCATGAGCACACCCTGACTCTATCCCAAGGCTCTCACTGTTTTCCTCCTCCAGGAGGCAGGTTCCAACTGCTCCTCCTCGGACTCTGATGTCATCTCGGACTCTGATGTGCTACTGCTGGAATCGCTGTCCTCATCAGAGGATGACGCTTCTCCTTTTCCCTCTGGCACCTTCTTCTTCTTCATCTTCCTCTTACCATCCTCCTCACTCTGTTCACTGAAGGAGAGTGGGAAAGGTGGGCTCAGGCCTGGCCTGGACACCCCCTCTTTGCTTCACAGAAGCAGGAGAAATGCTGAAAAGCTGGAGTGGAGTGGGGAGCCTGGGCCAGGAGGGTTCACACCTGAAGTCCTATAGCAGGGACCTCATGAGAGCTTGAAGCCAGCTTGTGCCAGCTCAGGCTCCAGGCCCCTGGTTGCTTCTCCACACCTCCCCACGAGGCCTCAGAGATCTCCTGCAGCCAGCGAAAGCAGTTGTCATGTGAGCTGACAACCCCAGCCAGCTCATAAGGGACTCAGGGGCTCTTAGGAGACTGGCTAAAGCTCAGTGCTAGCCCTTCTTTTCAGGAAAGCCCCCAGAACCCCACCCGCCATCTGGCTAGCTCCCTTCTCACCTCTCACTGCCTCTGCCTTTCTCCTCATCCTCATCCTGGTCTTCATTGTCAGACTCACTGCTGGACTCCCCAGAGCCGCTCTCGCTGCTGCTCTTACTGTCCGATTCACTCTCAGACTCAGGGTCTGTGGAGGAATAATATGAGGCCTCCTCCCTCATATGCAGGCCTCCTTGGGTCTAGAGCAGGCACCTGGGTTCCACCTTCAGATTCAGTACTGAACCCTCTCTGACCTGCCCCCAGCCCTACATGCCAGCTGGAACTGACAGAAACACAGATGGACTCCATGGATAGAAACCTGCACAAGCACACATACCTGGAACATGAATCCCTCAGGTGCACAAACAGAACTCACAAGCAGGTGCACACCCCTAGACACACGACCATATACATACACCCCTCATATAGCCAGTCATGCAGACACATGGGCGGGAGCACAGAGGACCCCAGCTCTGCCATCTGCTTACCACTGTCTGCGGACTCCGTGGGGCCTGACTCCCCCTCAGAGTCCGAGTAGAAGGGTTTTTCCTTCTCCTTTCTCTTCTCCCGATTTGAGCACTTGGTCCATTCAGGTACCTGGAGATGGGAGTAGGGTGCAGGGTCATTTCATAATGGTTGGGGAGAAGGAAGGCAGGCACAAGCCCTTACCCTTTATTCCACCTCTTCATGAGGCCCTAGCTGGTCTGTCCCACAAAGGGAAGAACAGAGGAGGAAGAAAGGGGCACTGTCCATGGAGGGGAGGGGATGCTGCTCACAGAGGGGCACTGCCAAACCAAGGTGGAAACAGAACATGGGAAGGCCCAGGAGCACAGCACACAGGGGAAGCAGAGGGACACAGGGCATGGGAGAGAGTACACGGCACACGGAGGTGGGACCTCAGTGTATTCGCCCAACAGGCCCACGTGAGTCTCAATAAGGGAAAGATCTTCTTCCTGTGTGTGTGGGGAAGGTGTTAGGAGGGCTGGGCCGGCACTGCCAGAGCTCCTTACTGTCTGCCCCCACCAACACACACACACACTTCAACCCTCCACCCTGCTGACCTCCACGTTGCGCACAGATGGGTCTGGGGCTTCCTCCGGCCAATCTGGGAGCTCCTGGTAGCCTGTGGCCTTGGCATTGAGCAGGTGGGACAGTGAGCCCAGCTGGAAGTGGTCCCGGTCTAAGGATAGGTTTAGAGGTCAGGCAGGTAGCAGCAGTGAGGGAGAGCTCTGGGAGCTATTTCCCAGGTGGGGCTGGGTCATGATTCTGGTCGGGGCTTCCCAGGTGGGTAGGAGATCAAGGAGATGGATGTGTGCCCTCATGGCTCTTCCACCCTGACTGCACCTTTAGGCCCACATGCTGGAAGAAAAGGCTGTCTGGCCAGGCCAGAGCAGGGACTGAGGGCCAGGGAGAGGCGGCCTACAGAGGTGGGCAGGAGGAGACTCTGGGCCCACAGATGCTGCCAGCCCATCTGCTTGGGAAGCATGTCTAGTCAGGCTCTGGACTCAGCCGGGAGAGATGAGCATCAGAGCATGAGTGTGCGGGAGTCCAGGTCAGAGGTGAGGCACTGCTGGAGAAGGGCAGCACAGGCCTGTGAGTAGGGATGGTACCAGGGAGAAAGGGACTGTTGCCTTCTTCCTGGGAGAATTTCAAAGCTACACCCACCCTCAGAATCTCCCCATTCCTGAGGTCCAGGGAAGAGAGAGAAAAAGAACGAAAAGATACCCAGAAGAACTGAGCTTTGTGAAGGAGGATCTCTTCTGTGTAGGTTCCTGGCTTCCGCTCCTGGGGTCCGGAGAGCCAGCAGGAGAACCCTTCCCCCCTGGCCCCCTCTCAGGGCCCTTGTCTTGGGAAAAGAGGCCTTAAGGGTCAAGCTCAAGAACAGAGCAAGGCTGAAGCCCTGGGGCCTGGGATCTGAACTGACTGTAGTGACTAAGCTTACAGAGTACAGGCAACTGCTTTCTCAGGACCTTTATAAAAATATACACCTCTCAGGCCGGGCGCGGTGGCTCAAGCCTGTAATCCCAGCACTTTGGGAGGCTGAGGCGGGTGGATCACGAGGTCAGGAGATCAAGACCATCCTGGCTAACATGGTGAAACCCCGTCTCTACTAAAAATACAAAAAACTAGCCGGGCGTGGTGGCGGGCGCCTGTAGTCCCAGTTACTTGGAGGCTGAGGCGGGAGAATGGCGTGAACCCGGGAGGCGGAGCTTGCAGTGAGCCGAGATCGCGCCACTGCACTCCAGCCTGGGTGACACAGCGAGACTCCGTCTAAAAAATATATATATATATATATATATGTATATATACACATCTCTCCTCTGTGTGTTGTTTTGCTTTCTGCTTTCCTGGATCCTTGGTATTTAAGATCTTGGTATGTATTCCAAAGCCTACTGTCTGCTCAGGGAGGGAGATTAAAAAGGGAGCCTGAGAGGAGAGGAGGCAGGAGCCCATCCTGGCCAGTAAGGCAGACCCTCAAGTGAGATGATGCTGGCAGTGGTTGTGGGCAGGTGAAAGAGTAATTCCTGGTGCCACAGCAGGGGCAAAAGGAGTGAGCCAGGGAGTAGGACTGCCCACAGAAGCATGGTACCTGGCTAGGGGCTTCAGGAAGGTCTGGGGCAGAGACTCTGGCCAGTTCCTTCCCATTCCCCTAGGAATCTTACCCTTGATTTCATCTCCCACCTTTGAAGGATGACTCCAAGACTGGAGCTGGTTTGGGTGCCAGGAAGAGCTTCTTGGCATGGCGGCTAAGGGCCCCACCCTGCTCGGAAGGGACGATGAGCTGCCGGGTGAAGCGTGCCCGGTCACGAATATCATAGTTCTGGTCATATTTGGCCAGACTCAGCACATACTGGGTCAGCAGCTTGGTCTGGAGGAACAGGAAGAGGTGGGTCAGCTGACAGAGGTGGTGGGGACACAGGAGGCTCAGAACCAGATTCTTTAAGCCGACACTTGCAGGCAGAATGTCTCCTCTCCCTGCTTAGGACCAGCTGCTTCCACCCAGCTCTCCCTCCCCACCTGCCCTTGTTCTGGGCTCAGAATTTTCTCTCATCTCTCTGACCATGCCTCCTGATGACCCCAACTTTGACAACTGCCTTGGGCCAGCAAAAGAGGTTTTCCTTTTGGACTTTCCCCACTCCTGGCTCTGGACTCCATTCTTCCCCAGGTTTATGGTTCCTACCTCTCCAGGCCTGTCCACCCTCTTTATTCCAGGGCGGCAGGGTATGTGGAAGTCTGGAATGCTCTACTGGACCTCACAGTTTCCAGGCTTCACCACCCAGGGGGGAATTAGACAACAAAAAGACAGGGCAGATAAACAGGGGTCCCTTTGGCAGGGGCCACCCTCATGTCCTATCCACCCACTGAGTAGATTCTGAGCAGCCCAGGGGTCTCAGAGGTCTTGATCCTTCCCTTGAAGGTTCTAATGAGACATTAAGGCAAACTGCAGCTGCTGATGCATTTGCCAAGGTCATGTAGGGTTCATAGTCTGCAGTCAGGGAAGCTACAACTGCTGACATGAAATCTCTCCATTTCTGCCATGATCTTGGCCTAATCTAACCTGCCTTAACATGGCAACAGTGGTAGCAGCCATCACTTATCAAGTGCCTTCTGGCACCAAGCACTGCTAGGTGCTCCACACTAGCTCATCTAATCTCCCCAAGCCTTCTGAGAGGTAGGCATTATTGCCCCCATTTTACAGAAAAGAAGCAGAATCATTAAGGGGCTTTCCCCAGGCCAAGGAGCCCATCAGTACTGCACCTAGGCCTGCATCTGCTGGAACTGCACCCCATCTGCTTCCCTTCACTGCCTACCTGCTGACATAAGGAGCCTGCCCTGGTCCAGGTCTCCATGTTTCCATCACTTGTGACCAAGATCAAAACCACCAAGTAGTCAACAACCAGAATGCCCAGGGGCATCAGGGGCCAGCAGGAGGGAGCCTGGAACTGACTCTGTTCTTCCTGAGGTTTATGGTGACATACTGTTACATGCAGCCTTGGACGTGGTTAACCCAGCTAATCTGGCAGGGACATCAAGCAGATGTCCATGAGGGGCAAAGCCCCTCAGATGCTGACCCAGAGTCAGAGCAGCTGCTGTGGCAGAATTGCCCCACACCACTCTAGAGAGCCACTATGATTCCACATTCATACCTCCAATCTGGCCCATAGGACCTCTTCAGCTCAGTCCCTTCCAGCAAAGCAGCACCTCCGATACTATTCTAGTCACAGATAAGCAATCCCAACCCCATGCACCCCTAATAGAATAGACTTAAAAATATGAAAATAAGATGCCATCACAACAGATTTCATCACCAACCTGCCCCTCTCTTGGCCAGACACCATCTAAATGGCCAGCGCTAGTGGATGCCCTATACCAACATGGTCCATTATCAAGAGGCTGCTGATCCCTCTTTTGGTTTGAACAATGTCTTCCTCCACAGATTTCCCAGCTGGCTGATCACAGACTCCCTCCTTTAAGACCTTGCCTAGTTCTAGACAGAACTGTTTGGTATTTGGATCCATCTGTCCACAGCCTTAACTGCATGTTAACAACCAACACAAGAAGGGCTGGCCCACCACCTCGACACTGCAGGATTTGCCTATAATAATTCATTACCCTTCTCCACCCCAAGGAGCCACTCCCTGTGGATTGTGGCATCCTGTGTGCACCACCAAGACCCCCACCTCATCTAGCCAGGATATGCAGGAATTACAGGCTACTCAAGAAGGCCTATGAGATACACTCCAGTATGCCAAGAACAGAACAAGGCTCCCCCTCACCAACAGGCTCCAGTTGTCAGGGAGGAATTTTAAGTGGGAAACACTATCTTTCTATAACCTATGCCAATGTACATGCTACCTTGCAGCTGCCTGCTAATCATGCTTAGAAAACTGGCTATTAAAAAAAAATTGAAATACATCCTCAATTCACACATTACACATGAGTAAGTTTAAGCTCTAGATGGATGTGGCAGACACATTTTAAGGTCTTCCCCACCAGTAGCTGCCTCCTGGTGTTCATGCCTTTGTGCAATCCCTCACCTTGGGTATGGGCAAAACCTGAGACTTGCTTTTAACCAACAGGATATGGCAAAGGTGGTATATGATTATATATGATCCTGTGATTATGTTTGATTAAGAAGACTCTGTATTGGAAGTCCTAGCTAGAGCAATCAGACAGGAGAAAGAAATAAAGGGTATCCAAATTGGAAAAGAATTCAAATTATCCTTGCTTGCAGATGATATGATCTTAATAGTTAAAAAAATCTAAGAACTCCACCAAAAAACTATTAGAACTGATAAACAAATTCAGTAAAGTTGCAGGATACAAAATCCACATAAATATCAGTAGCATTGGCCAGGTGCAGTGGCTGACGCCTGTAATCCCAGCACTTTGGGAGGCCAAGGCAGGCGGATCACAAAATCAAGAGATTGAGACCATCCTGGCCAACATGGCGAAATCCTGTCTCTACTAAAAATACAAAAATTAGCTGGATGTGGTGGTGCACACCTGTAGTCCCAGCTACTCAGGAGGCTGAGGCAGGAGAATCGCTTTAACCCGGGAGGTGAAGGTTGCAGTGAGCCAAGATGGTGCCACTGCACTCCAGTGTGGCGACAGAGTGAGAGTCCGTCTCAAAAAAAAAAAAAAAAAAAAAAACAGTAGCATTGGCCAGGCACGGTTGCTCACACCTGTAATCACTTTGGGAGGCTGAGGCAGGCAGAATACCTGAGGTCAGGAGTTTGAGACCAGTCTGACCAACATAGAGAAACCCTTCTCTACTAAAAATACAAAATTAGCTGGGCATGGTGGCACATACCTGTAATCCCAGCTACTTGGGAGTCTGAGGCAGGAGAATTGCTTGAACCCAGGAGACAGAGGTTGCAGTGAGCTGAGATTGCACAACTGCACTCCAGAGCCTGGGCAACGGAGCGAGAACTCCATCTCAAAGGAAAAAAAAAATTAGCCATTGCCCTCCAGCCTGGGCAACAAGAGCAAAACTCTGTCTCCAAAAAAAAAAAAAAAAAAAAAAAAAAAAAAAAAAAAAATCAGTAGCATTTACTTTTTTTTTTGAGATGAAGACAAAGTCTCACTCTTGTACCCCAGGCTGGAGTGCAATGACACGATCTTGGCTCACTGCAACCTCCGCCTCCTGGGTTCAAGCAATTCTCCTGCCTCAGCCTCCCGAGTAGCTGGGATTACAGGCACCCGCCACCACAACCAGCTAATTTTTGTGTTTTTAGTAGAGACGGGGTTTCGCCATGTTAGCCAGGCTGGTCTTGAACTCCTGACCTCAGGTGATCCACCAGCCTTGGCCTCCCAAAGTGCTGGGATTACAAGCGTGAGCCACCACGCCTGGCCGTGAATTCATTTTTGACAAAGGTATCAAGAACATACATTAGGGAAAGGAGAGTCTCTTCAATAAACGGTGCTGGGAAAACGGGATATCCATATGCAGAAGAATAAAACCAGACTCCTATCTCTCACCATATGCAAAAAGCAAATCATAATGTATTAAAAACTTAAATCTAACACTTCAAACTATGAAACTATTAAAAGAAAACATTAGGGAAATTCTCCAGGACATTGTACTGGGCAAAGATTTCTTGTGTAATACCCCACATGCACAGGCAACCAAAGCAAAAGTAGAAAAATGGGATCACATCAAGTTACAAAGCTTCTGCACACTAAAGGAATCAACAAAGAGACAAGCCACAGAATAGGAGAAAAAAAATTGCAAACTAAAGGAATCAATAAACAAGCCACAGGAGAAAAAATATTGCAAACTACCCATTTGACAAGGGATTAATAACCAGAATATGTAAGGAGATCAAACAACTCAATAAGGAAAAAAAATTCAATAATCCAATTTAAAAATGGACCAAAGATCTGAATAGACATTTCTCAAAAGAAGACATACAGATAGCAAACAGGTATATGAAAAGGTGATCAACATCATTGAGCATCAGAGAAATGCAAATCAAAACTACAATGAAAGGCCAGGCATGGTGGCTCATGCCTGTAATCCCAGCACTTTGGGAGGCTGAGGCAGGCAGACCACCTGAGGTCAGGAGTTGAGACCAGCCTGTCCAACATGGCGAAACCCCATCTATACTAAAAGTACAGAAATTAACTGGGCATGGTGGCATACGCCTCTAGTCCCAGCTACTCATGAGGCTGAGGCAGGAGAATCACTTGAATGACAGAGGCAGAGGTTGTTGAGCAGTGAGCCGAGATCGCACCACTGCACACTCCAGCCTGGGTGACAGAGCAAGACTCTGTTTCACAAAACAAAACAAAACAAACAAAAAAACAATGATATGTCATCTCGCCCCAAGTAGGCTTATATCCAAAAGATAGGCAATAACAAATGCTGACAAGAACATGGAGAAAAGGCAAGGCAACCCTTGTACACTGTTAGTTGGAATGTCTATGGAGAACAGTTTGGAGGTTCCTTAAAACACTAAAAATAGGCTGGGCATGGTGGCTCACACCTGTAATCCCAGCACTTTGGAGGCCGGCGGATCATGAGGTCAAGAGATGGAGACCATCCTGGCCAACATGGTGAAACCCCATCTCTACTAAAAATACAAAAAATTAGCCGGGATTGGTGGCAGGCACCTGTAATCCCAGTTACTTGGGAGGCTGAAGCAGGAGAATCACTTGAACCGGGGAGGCTGCAGTGAGCTGAGATCACGCCATTGCACTCCAGCCTGGGCAACAGGGCAAGACTCCATCTCAAAAAAAAAAAAAAAAAAAAACTAAAAATATCGCTACCGTATGATCCAGCAATCCCAACGCTATGTATATACCCAAAAGTAAGGAAATCAACATATTGAAGTGATATCTGCATTCCCATGTTTATTGCAGCACTGTTCACCATAGCCAAGATTTGAAAGCAACTTCAGTGTCCATCAACAGACAAACGGATAAAGAAAATATGGTACATATACACAATGCAGGACTATAAAAAAAGAATTAAAAAAAAAGAATGAGATTCTGTCATTTGCAACAACATAGATAGAACTAGAGGTCATTATTTTAAGTGAAACAAGCCAAGCACAGAAAAACAAACTTCACATATTCTCACTTATTTATGGGGGCTAAAAATGGAAAGAACTGAGCTCATGGAGTTGGAGAGTAGAATAATGGTTACCAGAGGCTGAGAAGGGTAGTGGGTGGGGGGAAGTAGGGATGGTTAATGGGTACAAAATTATAGTTATATAGAATGCTAAGATCTAGTATTTGATAGCACAACAGGGTGACTACAGTCAACAATAATTTATTATACATTTAAAAATAACTAAAAGAATGTAATTTGATTGTTTGTAACACAAAAGATAAATGCTTGAGAGGATGGATACCCCATTCCCTGATGTGACTGTTATGCATTGTATGCCTGTATCAAAATATATCACGTATACCATAAATGTATACACCTATTATGTACCCATAAAAATTAAAAAATAAAAAGAAGACTGTCTTGCTAGCAGACTGACTCTAGAGACTTTCTCCCTTGTGGCTTTGGAGAAATAAGCGTCCGTGTTGGGAGGCCCATATTGCAATGAGCTAAGGACGGCCTCTAGAAGGCAAAGGCAGTCCCCAGCTGACAGCCAGCAAGATGCCAGGGCCACAATCCTACAACTGCAAGGAAGTGGATCCTGGCACCATGTGACTTGGAAGTGGACCTTTCCCCAGTACAGCCTCCAGATAAAAACTCAGCCTTGGCTGACACCTCAATTGTAGCCTTGCATAAGATCCAACTAAGCCATACCTGAATTCTCGACCCATAGACATTGAAAAAATAAACGTGTGTTGTTTGAAGCCCCTAAATTTACAGTAATTTATTATGTAGCAGAAAACTAATACAATTGATTTAAAAATGTGAAAGTAGAAAAAATTCTGGAGAAAATTCTTTTTTATTTTTGTTTATTTTTAAGATGGATCTTGCTCTGTGGCCTAGGCTGAAGTGCAGTGGTGCCATCTCAGCTCACTGCACCCTCCAGCTCCCAGGTTCAAGCAATTCTCCTGCCTTAGCCTCCCAAGTAGCTGAGATTTCAGTGCACCGCCACACCCAGCTAATTTTTTTGTACTTTTAGTAGGGACAGGGTTTCACCATGTTGGTCAGGCTGGTCTTGAATTCATGACCTCAAATGGTCTACCCACCTTGGGGTCCCAAAGTGGGATTGCAGGTGTGAGCCACTGAACCCAGTCTGGCGAAAATTCTAAGTGAAAATTTCAATTGAAATGTGACTGGGAAAAAAAGTATTAAATATGAAAGCATTGAAAAGAAGCAGAAAAGTTTAAAATATTGGACAATAGACAAATGTACAACTTCTGAATGACTATATATAGGAATAAAAAATAAGGAAATATAAAATTAATGGTGGTCTTCTAAGTGGTGGACTTATTAATAAACTATTAACTTTCTGAGTTTTCCAGATGTTCTACAACGAGCATGTATTACCTTTAGAATATTTAAAAAGTTTTTAAAAGCAATTCTGCAAAATTTGTCACAATTCTCCATTCACTGTAAAGACCGTCACATGGGAGGGTTGCAGATCCCACTGTGCCCCTGGCAGACCCTCCTGCCACACTTCTTACCTGACATATAAAAGCAAACTCACCTGCTAGGCAGTTTCCCCAGGTTCTATATCCATGTGGATGTAATAACCACTTTCACTACCAACCTCCCCTCCCCCGCTGCCTGCTTAAGCCTGTATATTATGCCTTTGTGGTCTCTGGTCTAGAATCTGATTATCTGATGATCAATAGCAGGGCAGAGGCCTCATCTTGGTCATTTCCTTGGCCTCAGCCTGCGCCAGGATCTGGCATGCAGTGGGGCCATGTCCAAATTGAAGAGAATGACTGAGATTACTGTGACCTTTTAGCTGGGCAGATTGCCACCCATGGTCCCAGGATGGGAAGCATCACTACGTTTTGCAATCATGGTCATGTGCGCATCCAAACCACCTCCCTCCTAGTACGCCAAGGACTCCCCCTTCTTTACCACTCCCAGAAGAGGCTGGGAAGAAAGGAGAAAGAAAGGACAAAAATCTTTATTGAATCAAATAACCATTCTAAGGGGTCTCCAAAAACTCACTTTCAGGTGAAGGGCACCCTGGAAGTGAGTGTCCATTTGCCTGAACAGCCTACTCTGGGTGCCCTGACAGGGGTCCTTCCTGGGGGAGGGTTAAGCTGTATATACCCACAGCTCTCTGTGCCAACCCTGATGACAGCTCTTCCTACTGTGTTTAAAATGTTTATTTTTCTCCTGTTTCTCCTACTTGGCTGTGAGTATCTGGAGACCTGTAAATGTGTCTCACTCATTGTCATATCCCCAGGACATAGCACATTACCAGGCAAATAGTAGGCCTATATGTTAAATAAATGAACAAATGCACATGTAGCTCACAGTGACAACTTGGAGAAATGCCACGTGGACAGGCCCAAGCTTATGAAAACATGCCGACCTCACCATCCTGGGGTTCAGGACCCTGGCTCAGTGCTGAGCATGTCAGACTGCAACCTACCTGGGTGGCTCCCCACCCAGGCTGCTTCATCTTTTCAAACATTCCTCCCACTTGCTCCTTCCTCCCGCCTGAACAAAGAAAGTGCACAAATATTCATTCAATGATTGAACGCTTCTCCATGGTACTCCCTCTCCCTCTAACTTCTCTCTCTCTAATCTGCTGTGCCCACAACACTGATACCCACAGACTCAGTTGCCTCCACATGTAGCTGCTGTCCTTTCTGACTCCTGATTAGAGTCCCAGCACTTGGTGGCCCTGCCTACCTCAGCTTGAGCCTCTGGGGCTCACTCTGGCCACCATGGATCAAAGCAGCCACTGAAAAAGACAAGTGCCACCATCCAAAGACTCCCATGCAGAGTGGGCATGGCAGGGAGGCTCCAGTCTCCAGGGGATATCCCTGCTATAAATCTGTAGACCCCAGCCACCTACCCAGATGTTTTGCTTCAAGGATTGGCAGTCTTTCTATAAAAGGGCCAGAGAATAACTATTCTAGGCTTTGTGGGCAATACAGTCTGTTGCAACTAGTCAACCCTGCTGTTGTAGCACAAAAGCAGCCACAGGTAATTCATAAATGAACGAGCAGGGCTGTGTTCCAACAAAACTTTATTTACAAAAACAGGCATAGGCCAGATTCAGCCTATGGGCAGTAGTTTGCCAATCCCTGTCCTGCTTAACTGAGTAGGAGAGTGTGGAAATTGTCATAGTGTTTGATGTCCCTGACACCTTGAAAAGCTCAGCACATTATGCTTTATTTTAGAAGAATCTCCTGGAACCATCTCAGGAGATGCCAGACAGCTAGAAGGCTCTGAATGCCCTGATACTACAACTTAGCTGAGCCTCATCCTTGGCTATGTATCTCTTATAACCTTTCACCTTGGGAATGACAGTGGCCACCAGCACCACCCAAGTCCAAGCAGAGACTCACTCCCTTATCTTTGGCACAGACTGGCCAAGCATTGTCAAGCTTTGGGAAGAAGCACAGACCACATCTGGGATGCATGTTCTCCCATCAGTACCTGCCACTGTTGGGCCCTTCCCTTATTTCAATCAACTGTGGTTCTTTGCAGCCCCAGAGTTCCAAGGTGGCAGACAGGACTCTTTTACTAGCCAACTGGAGGTCACAGCTTCATAGGAGAGTCTCTTCAACAGTGACTACCAGCACTACAAGGTCTTTGAGTCCCCAGATTAGCTGTGGGCACTGGGGTAGCATTGGTTACGTGGGCAGACCAGCCACCTTCCCTGATTCTTCTTTTCCAAAATAGGAGCTAGAGTTCAGCCCTGCCTAGGGAGGGCCAAAAGAATACTGTCTAGGGAGTTTCTGGGAACCAGAGTATTTGGGGGGTCATCTCTCAATCTTTACCTGTTTAGAGTTGGTCAGGTAGAGCTTGGCTGCTAAGTTGATGACCTGCAGCTTGACAATATCCTCCTCTGCTGTGAATGACTTGGCCATTTTTCTTAAGACATCAGGTGCAATCCTGGGGACGTGCTCACAGTACTCTCCGATGAGCCACAGGATGCTGGCTCTGGCCATGGGCACCTGTGGTTGTGGGAGAGGAGTGGGTAAATATGGGAAAGTGGGTGGGTAGGAATGTGGACTTCCAGGGAAACAGCACTCCTCATCTGTGCTGGCCTATTGAATTATGGGTTCTCAGGAAATGGGAGTTGGGGGCGGTGGGAGAGAGACAGAGAGGTTAAAAGGTAGACATTTCCTGGACAGCATTTCCTCTCTTCCCTAGGGCTTCATTAGCATAGAGCTTTCAAGACCCTAAGTCAATCATGATGTAAAAGACTGACTTTCTGGATTCATTGTACCCTCAGTGCTTTATTTCCATGTTACTCTTCTGAATCTTTGGGAATGCCTTGTTTAGATGTTTCAGCTTAGCAGTGCAACAGAAAAATACAAGATTTGTCACTTAACCATGGTTGGCTAGAGCTTTAGAGAGAAAGCAAGAGTAGCAGTAAAGTCCATGGCGCTCGGTGAAGGTCTCCAAAGGGAAGGCAAATTTTGGGTAACAAGGTCAGGGTCACATGGTCCAGTGTCTCTCCTCCTCCCACCTGAAGACCTAAGGTTTGGAAGTTACTTTTGATAAGGCTAGCATATTTAATTATACAGTCTTGAAATCACTGGGAAGACCTTGAAGTGGGGAGTGAAAATGTGGCTACTCCCTCACCTGGATGTTGTCTGTAAGCTTTGCCAAGTGTTTGATGATCTCTCCATGTTGTGCTGGCTGCATCTGTAGCAATTTCTTAATGACGACCACTGACTCTGCAACCACAAGCTCTATGGAAGAAAAATGAGTGTATGGACCCCAAGACAGTCAGATAGCCATGCTCAGGTGGACAGACACACCTGCAGTGCCCCAGGCCCTTGGTTCTTTCTTTCAACCCCTTCACTTCTCTAGCAGCCCTCAGAGGTGTAGGAACACTTGGGCCCTGATCAAGACAGACAGACCAATGGACACACATCATGTCTAGGCAGACTGGTGGATATCCACTGGCCAGCAGAGTCAGACCTGCAGGCAGGCATCTTCTGATCATCACAATTAGACATTCAGGCAAACACTGACCATCACGGTTGGACAGCAGCTGCACCAGGCCATTGAGGCAGGTGTCACGGACTCGGCCAATGTTAGTTGCACAGCGTCCAATGGCCTGGATTGTGGCTGCCACAAAGTCCTTGTCCATGCTGCGAATATAGGTCTGTGAGATATGACAAAGAAATCCCTCAGTGACTCTGCAGGCTTGAGGGTGACCTTCAAGAAGGCTGTGGCCCTTCATTTTATGGCTCATCATGCCAGTGACTAAGACTTGGGAAAGGGGGCGACACCTCCACCCCCCAATCCAGTGATTCCTTCGCCCAAAGCTAGCCAAACGCATTGGAAGGGGAATGTAAGATAACAGCTTCTCCAGCTTTGGGCTCATAAGAGGTTTGACCCACCAGGGCACAAGGATCTGATGGGTACCTCTCCCGGGCCCTTCTGGCTGGGAGCTGGCCTGTACCTGGAATTCCCGTAGGACAGTAGGAATGTTGGTCTCATTGGCCAGGTTGGTCAGCACTTCCAGCTGCAGGGAGGGGTGAAGAGGCAGAGAGGGGTGGCCAGTGGGCTTTCTGTACTTTCCTTCCAAAAACACTTCACAGACCAGAAAACAATCCTCATGACAGACTGGCATCATCCTCAGACTGATGAGGGAACTGACAGGTTACAAAACTTGTCTAAAAATCAAGAGGACCAGTTTGCCTCTTAAATGGATTCCCTACAGAGTATGCTTACAGTATGACCATGTCACCGCCCTACTCCATTGAAAACGTAAAGGTTCCTATTGCTTTCAGAATGGAGACCATTGTATTCACCATGGTCTGTAAGTCCCTGAATGATCTACTTGCTGTCTACCTCCCATCTCCTATCACTCTCTGCCTTGTCTTCCAGGCCCCAATCCCACTCCATTTCCTAACCCAGGGTCTTCGCAGATGCTGTTTCCTCTGTGTGGAGCAGTTCTTCCCATTTCTGTCCCCACATAATTCATGTTCATCTCTCTGGCTTCAGCTCAAGTCTCATATCCTCCAGAAAACCTTCCCTGGCACCAGACTAGATTAGTTCTCCCTATTTTATGCCCTTATAGCTCTCCACACTTTCTTCCATATTTTGTAAATGGACTTTTACATTTGCCTTGTGATTAGCTGCTTAATGTATCCTCCTCCCTGCATCTGTAAGCTCCACGAAGGCAAGGTCCCTGATTAGTTTGCTCCATCATGTACCCCTAGAACATAGTGGATGTTCACAAGGGTTAGGAGGATTAACTGTTGCTGAAGGAAATCACTCAATAATGAGGCAGCAGAGCAGGAATCAAATGGAGGTATGGGCTCCTGCCACTTTCCTCGTCTATGAACATTTGCAGGAAAGCGTTAGGGGGCAGGTGTGTGGGGGCCATAACACTGTGGGTGGAGAGAAAAGCATGAACCTTGGAGTCAGCAGAATTGTGTGACCTGGGGCAGTTACCTCCCAGAGTCTATTTTTTTTTCTTTTGAGATGGAGTTTCTCTCATCACCCAGGTTGGACTGCAATGGCGCAATCTCAGCTCACTGCAACCTCTGCCTTCCAAGTTCAAGCAATTCTCCAACCTCAGCCTCCCGAGTAGCTGGGATTACAGGCGCCTGCCACCACGCCTGGCTAATTTTTGTATTTTTAGTAGAGACGAGGTTTTGCCATGTTGGCCAGGCTGGTCTTGAACTCCCAACCTCAGGCAATCTGCCTGCCTCAGCCTCCCAAAGTGCAGGGATTAGGCGTGAGCCACTGTGCCTGGCCAGAGTCTATATTTTCATAAAAGGAATATAATGTACACATCCTGGGATTATTAAGAGGTGGTATCAGGTTACTTCATTCATGAAGAGTAGCAGGTGTATACCAGGTACTAGGCAAAAAGCAGTTAGTTCCCTTCTCCCCCGACCCTCCTTAGCCCAGCTCCCTGAACAAACAGCTCTAGCTGGGGCAGTCATGGGCTCCTGGGCTCAGCCTTAGAAATAGGCAGGCACCAGGGGGGCCACTGTGAGTTATTTGAGTGGGTACATGGGGTGGGGAGGGCTGGGAGCCACATGCACTTCTGTCCCTCACTCACCTTCAGGATCTTGATCTGGGTGGGGTCGGTGGACCTGATGTAGAAGCTCTTCAGGTAGGGCTCAAACATACCCTGGCACAAGAGAGGCAGCCAGGGAGCTTCACCGAAGCCCCAGGCCTGCCTCGCTGCCCAGAGGCACCCCTCCTATCCTGACCCAGTGCCCAGGATCCTTCCCTCCTCACCACTGCCCTCCACTTCTCAAGTCTTCCCTCGTCCATCTCAGATTCGACCAGCTCTTTCTCCACGGCGCATCCCCTCTCAGCGGTCCCTCAGGATTCAGGCCCTGCTCCCTATCTGTGTTTGGAGCCTCCCCTGCCCCATCCTCTGCACAGCCAGGGTATTCCTCCATCTTCCCTTTCCCCAGCCCCGGTCCCAGTCCCAGCCCCGACAGCGCCTCCGTGCCCGCAGAAGCGGCCCTCGGACAGCAAGGACAGGCTGCGGTCGCAGGCTCACCCGGCGCTTGATGGACATGGTGGCCACGTTCTGGAGCACAACGTACTGCACCTCACTGCGGAGAGGATGGGTCAGAGCACCCCGGGCCCCTCGGCTGGGGCAAGGGGCAGCGGATGAGGGGAAAAGGTGGGGCAAGTCGTTGCGGGGAGAGGACCAGTGCGAAGGGCAGGCCCGCGGTCAGTGTGGAGCGGCTGGGCAGAGGGGGAAGCGGTTGGTGGGCAAGAGGGGGCGGACCCGGGCAGCCCGTGGGGCGGGGCGTGGGACAGGGCGTGAGCCCGTGGGGCGGGGGCGGGGCCGGGGCCAGGGCCGGGGCCGCAGCGCACCTGTGGCTGCGCAGCAGGCGCACTAGCGCCTTGGCGATGACGCCCACTTCCGCCTTGGGCGCCAGGTGGAAGTACAGCTGCGCCACCGCCATGACCACCGCGGCGCTGCGGCTCTGCAGCAGGGGTTTGGTGTTGCGCAGCAGCAGCCGGTGGTCGGGGTCCATGATATAGGGCTTTCGAGCGGGGAGCGCCGCGGCGGCCGTCTCCTCAGACCCCGCGCCCTTAGCCTCGTCCTCCTCTGAGCCGTAGAAGGCTTTCTCCGCGTTCTCCTCTAGCAGGGATTCCTGGACAGGGAGACCGACAGGCCCGTGGGCGCCTCCCTGGGACACCCTTCCGTCCGCTATGCCGGGACGGGGCCCACTCACGTTTTGGGTGGGGCTCAGGAACTGCGTGCGGGCGTAGCGGGTGAGCATGCTGATGATGACCACCTGGCCCCACTCCTCCACGTCGATCAGCAGGTTACAGAGTTTCCGGTAGTTTTTGTGAATCAGGTCGATGCGCTCCGGGCAGACCTCCTCGAAGGCCATCACCACGCTGCCCGCCACCAGCTGCGGAAAGAACAAAGGCGAGGGGGTGAACGCGAAGGGTGGAAGGCCGGCAGTCAGTCACCACCCCTCCCGGAGTGCCCCTATACCGCACCGTGGTCTTGTCAGCCAGAAGCTTCTCAATGACTTCTATCAGCTGATCCTTCTGGTCAGAGTCCAAACTGAGGGAGAAATCGGTAGGGGAATTTGCCACATTCAGCCCCAGCCTTCCCAATATCTGTCCAAGCCATGCTCACCTCAGGCGCCCCAACCTTATTGTTCTCCTCCGTCTCTGTCAGTCCCCCAAACTGCCCTCCTCAAACCCTCTGAGAAGCAGCGGGCAAGACTTAGGAAAGGCCAGGGGTCGGTTGGGAACTTAGGAGCCAGCCTCCTGGGGAGCGTGGGACAGGGCTGGGGCATACCTGTAAAGTTTAGGGATGGCGTGGGCAGCTGTTTTCCGCACATAGGGTGACATGTCCGAGGCGGCTTCCTTGATAGCTAGCATCATGATGGGCACTATGATGGGCACACGGATGCTAGAGAGGACGCGGAGGGCACTGGCACGAATCAGTTGGTTGGGGTCCTAAAGGCAGAGGTGGAGGCAGAGCTATGAAAGAGCACGAGGTGACCTGATGGAGAGGGACCACACCTTTGGAAGTCACTGTCCCCAGCGACCACCAGTTCTTGCTTCCCTGCCCCCTGACTGGAGCCTGGATGGTGTGCCAGTGCTGGATACCTGGGGGACACTTAATTTTGGCTCTGGTTGCAGAAATCTGACACCTGAACAGGTGTTGCAATGGGTAGCTTCACTTCCAGAAAGACTGAAAAACGTTCAGAACGCCTAAAGTTGCTGAAACACCTTAAACATTTTCTGTTCCTTGTAAGGGATTTTTTGGGGGTATCTGTTTTAATGCCTGAGGTGACTGCCCAGCACATGCAGGCTGGTATCCCTTCCGGAGTTCAACCTTACATTCCTTTCTCCCAGAAATCATTGCAAAAGCTGCTGCTCTTCCACAGTGTTTAAAACAGAATAGGGGTGTAGGCCCTTCCTTTTTTTTTTTTTTTTTTTTGAGATGGAGTCTCACTCTGTCGCCAGGCTGGAGTGCAGTGGCACAATCTCGGCTCACTGCAACCTCCGCCTCCTGGTTTCAAGCGATTCTCCTGCCTCAGCCTCCCGAGTAGCTGGGACTACAGGCATGCACCACCACACCCAGCTAATTTTTTGTATTTTTAGTAGAGATGGGGTTTCGCCATGTTGGCCAGGCTGGTCTCAAACGCCTGGCCACAAGTGATCCGCCCACCTCAGCCTCCCAAAGTACTGGGATTACAGACGTGAGCCACCACGCCTGGCCCCAAGCCCTTCCTCTTTATTCCTATTGCACCCTATACAGAATGTATAAAAGCGTTACACTGTATTGTGATCATGGGGCTTAGGACTTCTTCCCACTATCAGCAGCAGCAGCTATATATTACAGGCATACCTCGGAGATATTGTGGGTTTGATTCTAGACTCAACAATAAAGCAAATATCACACTAAAATGAGTTACATAAATTTTTTTGTTTCCTGGTGCATACAAGTTATGCTTATAGTTACAGCTGCTTGGGAAGCTGAGGTGGGAGAATCACTTGAGCCCAGGAAGTTGGAAGCTGAAGTGAGCTATGTATGTTCACGCCACTGCACTCCAGACTGAGCAACAGAGTGAGATCGTATCTCCAAAAAAAAAAAAAGAAAGAAAAAAAGAGTTACATTTACAATATACTGTAGTCTACTAAGCACGCAATAGCATTATGTCTTAAAAACCAATGTAGGCTGCGTGTGATGGCTTGTGCCTGTAATCCCAACACTTTGGGAGGCTGAGGTAGGAGGATTGCTTAAGCATAGGAGTTCAAGACCAGCCCGGGCAACATAGAGAGACCCCAGTCTCTACAAAAAAAAAAAATTGAAGTCAATCTTCTTAAACTCTGCCTCTGCTTTATCAACTAGGTTTATGTAATATTCTAAATCCTTTGTTGTCATTTCAACAATTTTCACAGCATCTGTACCAGGAGTAGATTCCATTTTAAGAAAGGACTTTCTGTGTTCATTCATAAGAAGCAAGTCCTCATCCATTCAAGTTTTATCATGAGATTGCAGCAATTCAGTCACATCTTCAGGCTCCACTTTTAATTCTACTTCTCTTGTTATTTCCATCACCTATGTAGTTACTTCCTCCACTGAAGTAGTGAACCCCTCAAAGTCATCCATGGAGTTTAGAATCAACTTCTTCCCAACTCCTGTTCATGTTAATATTTTGACCTCCTCCCATGAATCATGAATGTTCCTAATGGCACCTAGAATGGTGAATCCTTTCCAGAAGGTTTTCAATTTACTTTGTGCAGATCCATGAGAGGAATCACTATCTATGGCAGCTCTAGCTTTATGAGATGTATTTCTTAAATAATAAGACTTGAAAGTCAAAATTACTCATTGATCCATAGGCTGCAGAACTGATCTTGTGTTAGCAGGCATGAAATCATTAATCTCCTTGTACCTCTCCATCAGAGCTCTTGAGTGAACAAATGCATTGTCATAGAGCAGTAATACTATGAAAGGAATATTTAAGTGGTAGGTATCAACAATGGGCTTAAAAAATTCAGTAAACCATAACTGCAAACAGATATGTTGTCATGGCATTGTTGTTCCATTTATAGAGCACAGGCAGAGGAGATCTGCCACAATTCTTAAGGACTCCAGGATATTCAGAATGGTCAGTGAGCACTGGCCTCAACTTAAAGTCACTAGCTGCATTAGTCCCTAACAAGAGCCAGCCTGTTTTTTAAAGCCAGGCATTGACTTCTCCTCTCTACGTAGGAAAGTGCTAGATGGTGTCTTCTTCCAGTAGGAGGCTATTTCATTTACACTGAGCATCTCTTGTTGAACATAGTCACTTTCATCAGTGATCTTAGCTAGACCTCTGGACAACTTGCTGCAGCTTCTCCATCAGCACTTTTGCTTCACCTTGCATTTTTTTGTTATGGAGATGGCTTCTGTACTTAAACTTCATGAACCAACCTCCACTAGCTTCCGTCTTTTCTTCTGTAGCTTCCTCACCTCTCTTAGCCATCATAGAATTGGAGAGATTTAAGACCTGCCTATAAATTAGGCTTTGGCTTAAGGGAATGTGGTAGCTGGTTTGATCTTCTATCCAGGCCACTTAAATTTTCCTATATCAGCAATAAGCCTGTCTTGCTTTCTTTATCATTCATGTGTTTTCTGGAGTAGCACCTCAAACTTCTGGGTTCAAGTGATCCTCCTACCTCAGCCTTCCAAGTAGCTAAGACTACAGGTGCATACCACCACACCAGGCTAATTTTTTAAAAATTTTTGTAGAAATGTTCTTGCTCTGTTGCCCAGGATAGTCTTGAACCCCTGGTCTCAAGTGATCCTCCTGACTCAGCCTCCCAAAGTGCTGGGATTACAGGTGTGAGCCACCACGCCCAGCCTGGAGTAGCAATTTTAATTTCCTTCAAGAACTTTTACTTCGCATTCACAACTTGGCTAAATGTTTGGAGCAAGAGGCATAGCTTTCAGCCTATCACGGCTTTCAACATGCCTTCCTCAGTAAGCCTAACCATTTCTAGCTTTTGATTTAAAGTGAGAGATGTGTGGTTCTTCCTTTCACTTGAACACTTAGAGGCCATTGTAGGGTTATTAATTGGTCTAATTTCAATATTATTGTGTCTCAGGGAATAAAGAGGCCCACGGTGAAGGAAATGGGGGAACAGTCAGAACACACACAACATTTATTGATTAATTTCACTTTCATCTCTGGGCATGGTTTGTGGCACCCCAAAACAATTACAATAGTAACATCAAAGATCACTGATCACCATAACATATAATAATCATTTAAAAGTTTGGAATATTGTGAGAATTACCAGAATGTGACAGAGGCACAATGTGAGGACATACTGTTGGAAAAATGGCACTAATAGACTTGATTGATGTAGGGTTGCCAGAAACCTTCAATTTGTAAAACGTGCAATATCTGCAAAGTGCAATAAAATGAGATGTGCCTGTACTATTAATCTTAGAGAATGATGGAAATAGGAACACTAAAGAAGGGTAGATGTTACCATGACTTTCTGAAATGGAGAAAGAAAAGATCCTCACAATTGCAGGCAAAATTAATGCTAATTCCTGACAAAATTCTGGAATTGACTTTTAAACAGATGGGTTAGAAGCATTTATTAAAAAGGAAGGAGTCTCTGTTTTCTTAGAGACAAATAGTCGCATCAACTGCTAAAACCCGTTTTCCTTTTTTGTGTGTGAACATTTTATTTGGGAAATGATTATAGATTCACAGAAAGTTATCAAAAAAAATCTGTTTTCCTTTTGATGGGGTAACTAGGCCAGTGGATATTAGTACTTTGTATCTTGATTTCAGCGATATGTTTGTGGAAGTCTCACAGCATTTCCTGCATTGCTATTTTTTAGGTAGGCCTTTTGTTTCACCTAATAGTCAAGCATTTTTAAGAGCAGAATTCACATCTGTTTTATCTCTGTGTCACCCACAACCCTTTGCACATGAAAGGTGTTATTTATTTATTTATTTATTTATTTATTGCTATTGAATAAGATCCTTCCTAACAAGATAGAAAAATGCCAGCTGTCTGTACAGTCAGGTGGGTCTACAACTTGGTGAAATGTACTTGGAGAAGGTTTATTAACAGATCAATGTCAACCTGGAAACATGCTATGCCTCGGTCTTTTGCCCTGGTCCAAATAGCTTATCAGTATCTTGAAAGAAGACACAAAATCAGGAGGAACATAATTAAGATTCAGAATTACCCTGGCTTGGACCCTGTGCTAAATCGATAAAATGAAATAGAGTAGGGTTTCACAGGGGGTTCAAGGGACCAACTGCACAAAGACAGGATGTAGGGAGACCTAGATTATCTGCTTGCCAGTCAGAGGTTTGATTCCATGAGGGATCTCCTAAGACAGTGAACACGGCCCTAGCTTGGGCTGATAAAAAGAAGGAAGAAGGCTGGATTAAAATGATTAGTTCCAACATGCAGGAGAGACCAAAGCCAGTGACAACAACAACAAAAAAACAAGTTTTAAAGGAATACATATATAGTATGATGACACCATTTACAAAACATTTTATATTGCTTAACAATATGCAAATTACTAGCTCAGGAATAAATACATATGTATGAATGATAAACAAGAGAAGATACATGGGAGGCTTTGTTTGAGAAATGTGTCATTTCTTATGCTGGATATATGGATATTCATTATATTATTATTTATGCCTTTTGTGAACCTGTAGTAAATTTTATTTTATTTTTTAGATACAGGGTCTCCCTGTGTTGCCCAGGCTGGAGTACAGTGACTATTCATAGGTGCAGTCATAATGCAGTACAGCCTGACATCAATTTTTTTTTCTTTTTTTTTTTTGAGATGGAGTCTCACACTGTCACCTGGGCTGGATGGCAGTGGCACGATCTCAGCTCACTGCAACCTCTGCCTCCCAGGTTCAAGCAATTCTCCTGCCTCAGCCTCCTGAGTAGCTAGGATTATGGGCATCCACCACCATGCCCAGCTAATTTTTTGTATTTTTAGTAGAGATGGGGTTTCACCATGTTGGCCAGGCTGGTCTCAAACTCCTGATCTCATGATTCGCCCACCTTGGCCTCCCAAAGTGCTGGGATTACAGGCATGAGCCACCGCGCCCGGCCTGAAATCAATTTTTAAAAATTATAGTTGTGGAGGTTTCAACAAAATATAATGGTTTAAAAAACACCCCAAATAGTAGTAGTTGTCTTGAGATGGAGCAAGTTGCCCTATGAAGGAGTGAGGTCCCTATCAGAAAAGATACCTGTTAGAGATGTTCTAGAGCAAAGGTTGGCATGCTACAGCCCTTGGATAAAATCTGTCTATTGCCTGTTTTTACATAGATTTATTGGAACATGGCCACACCCACTTGTTTTTTTTTTGTTTTTGTTTTTGTTTTTGTTTTTTTTTTGGAGACGAGTCTCGCTCTGTCGCCCAGGCTGGAGTGCAGTGGCCGGATCTCAGCTCACTGCAAGCTCCGCCTCCCGGGTTCACGCCATTCTCCTGCCTCAGCCTCCCGAGTAGCTGGGACTACAGGCGCCCGCCACCTCGCCCGGCTAGTTTCTTTTGTATTTTTTAGTAGAGACGGGGTTTCACCGTGTTAGCCAGGATGGTCTCGATCTCCTGACCTCGTGATCCGCCCGTCTCGGCCTCCCAAAGTGCTGGGATTACAGGCTTGAGCCACCGCGCCCGGCCCACACCCACTTGTTAATGGCTGCATTTGCACCATAAGGGCAAAATTGAGTAGTTGCATAGTTGAGACTATATGGCCTACAAAACCTAAAATACTATTTGGCACTTTGCAGAAAGAAATTATCACATTCAGTTGGACTAAATGAGCTCTGATTTTCTAAAAGGGGGAAAGGGGCAGTTGGTAGAGACTATAGGTGAAAATCTGTGCAAAGATTTCAGATTAGTTTTTATACTTAACCCTTAACTCAAACCGAAAGATTACTTGCCAATCTAAGATGGATTCTATGGTTTTGACTTATAAAAAGAACCCTAGCACAATGTGTGGCATAGAGACACCCAAGTATTTGCTAAATGAATGAACTGTATATGCAAGTGACCATGCTTTCTACCATCACCCCAAAGAAGCCGACTGTCAACCCCTCTTGCTGGCCATAGCAGATTGGACAAGGGGTGGGCCCTGAATTTGAGCAGTCAATCCTATCTACCCAGTAACCTACAGAACTTCTGGATATGAAAAGATGAGCTGGACCTCTCACAATCTCTCTCACAGAAATTTGAACTAAAAGTATCCAGGCCAGGAGTAGTGGCTCATGCCTGTAATCCCAGCCTTTTGGGAAGCTGAGGCCACTTGAGTCCAGGAGTCCGAGACCAACCTGGGCAACATGGTAAAACCCTGTCTCTACAAAAACTACAAAAAAATTAGGCGGGCATGGTGGTGCATGCCTGTAGTCGCCGCTACTCAGGAGACAGAGGTGGGAGAATCACCTGAGCTCAGGAAGGTCAAGGCTCCAGTGAGCCATGATTGCACTACTGCGCTCCAGCCTGGGCAACAGAGTGAGAACCTGTCTCACAAATAAATAAATAAAGGTATGCAAAAATAGGGGAGTTAATGGTTGTAATCAGAGCGAAAAATCTGATATGGAGAGAAAGAATGGCTTTGAAATGGCTGTCTTTACCCTCAAGATATCTTAGACTAACCAGAAAAGCCCTCAGGGGAGACTTATGCATGCACCTAACATATGTAAATCCAACTAGAAGCCTTGGGCAAAACAAAACAAACAGTGAGAATGGTGTGGGGGATTCAGGCCATTGCTAAAGGTTGAATTCTACCTGGCTGTGGACCACAATTCACACCTTTACACAAAGAGGGTTGAGGGGTTCTCCATTGCCAGAGGCTCTCCACTCTCCAGGAGCTCAAGTGGTTCATACTAGAAGCAGCCATTACCACAGGCTCCTGGGAAGAGAGACAGGGGCCCTAGGTGCCCACTTCGTCTCCTATGACCTTCTGAACCTGGCTTCCACTCTCTGAGGGTCTGGCTGGCCTTTCCTGACTGTGACCCTCCCAACTTTAGGCAGGTAGAAAGGGCCCGCTCCCATGCTCATGGCCTCTCCCTGGGCCTGTTCCTCCGATAGCGCCAACGAGACCCAGGCCCTGGGAGGAAAACTGAGACCCCTGACCTTTAGGCCACGTTGGAAGGTGGAGATGGACAGCAGGGCCAGGTCTTGCTGCTCCTCAGCGTAGCGTACCAGGTACACGTAGACAAGCTTCTTCACCTTGGGGAGAGCAAGTTTCTCAGCAGAAGGCTTCTCAGCAGGGACCTGTGCCCGCCCCCCTACCCCTGGGATGTCATCTCCCCAGGCAGCTGTGGTCCATGGGGACAAATTCTTCCAGTTGGGGAGAGCACCCGAGTGTATCCAGGTCCTTTACCTTGATCCACATCCAGTTCAAGGACATGGATAGAGTGTCTTCTCCTGGCTCAGGGACATTTCTGAGCAGGTTGGGCCTCCAGGGGCTAAATCATTTCCTTCCTCACCCCAAGCTTGAATTTGTTCCTGGGGGAAGTGGGAACAAGTGATCCTTCACCCGGTAGTGCTCACCTCTATGTTCTTACAGGCCACATTCTTCACCACCGCTGGAAACAGGTCTGAAGCATTCTTTCCTCGGGCAATCATCTGGGTGGTGGGGTCAAGGTAGGGGAAGAGGGACAAATCGGGGGGCACAGCAACTAATTAGAGGGAAGGTCTACAAGGAGCTAAAGAGAGCTGCTCTTGGCCACCCAGGCCCCTCCCCAAGGGAGGCCCCTTCCTTCCCCTCTTACCGCCACAATCCTCTTCATGGCCTCCAGCTTTAGAGAATCCTTGTTGGTGTCCAGCATCTCCTTCAGGTCATCATGCCTGGTAGGAGGTACAAGAGGTCAACTGAGGGCACAAGGGTGGGGACGGGGTATTAATCAGGAGGGTCCAGGCACAAAGAAGGAACATGGCCAGGGGAGGCTCAGGCAGGACCTGACCCGAAGAGGGACCAGAGAGCCAGGGGGAGTGAGTAAAGTACAGATCAGGGGAAACATGTGGCCAGTTAATATTAGGGGTTGAACTGTGTCCTTCCTAAAAAGGATATGTTTAAGTCTTAACCCCTAGTACCTCAGAATGTAACCTTATTTGGGAACACAGTTGTTGCAGATGTAATTAGTTAAATGCAATCCTACTTTAGTAGAGTGGGTCTCTAATCCTATATGTCTGGTTTCCTATAAGAAAACAGCCATGTGGGCTGGGCGCAGTGGCTCACGCCTGTAATCCCAACACTTTGGGAAGCTGAGGCAGGAGAATCACTTGAGCCCGGGAGTTCCAGACCAGCCTGGCAACATGGTGAAACAATGTGTCTACAAAAAATAGATTAAATTGAAATTAAAAAAAAAAAGACAGCCACTTAGAGAGACAGACACAGGGAGACTACCATGTGAAGGCAGAGGATTGGAGAGATGCGTCTACAAGCCAGGGAATGCCAGAGATTGCCAGCAAACAACCAGAAGCTAGAAGGGGCAAGGAAGGATTCCCCTATGTGTTTCAGAGGGAGCACGGTCCTGCTGACACCTTGAATTCGGACTTTTGGCCTCCAGAGCTGTGAGACAATTCTCGTTTCTGTTGTTCCAAGCAACCCAATTGTGGTACCTTTTTTTTTTTTTTAATTACTAAACTTTTTTTTTTTTAATACTTTAAGTTCTAGGGTACATGTGCACAACGTGCAGGTTTGTTACATATGTATACATGTGCCATGTTGGTGTGCTGCACCCATTAACTCGTCATTTACATTAGGTATTCCTCCCAATGCTATCCCTCCCTTCTCCCCACACCCCACGACAGGCCCCAGAGTGTGATGTTCCCCACCCTGTGTCCCAGTGTTCTCATTGTTCAATTCTCACCTATGAGTGAGAACATGTGGTGTTTGGTTTTCTGTCCTTGCGGTAGTTTGCTCAGAATGATGGTTTCCAGCTTCATACATGTCCCTACAAAGGACATGAACTTACCCTTTTTTATGGCTGCATAGTATTCCATGATGTATATGTGCCACATTTTCTTTTTTTTTTTTTTTTGGTGAGACGGAGTCTCACTCTGTCACCCAGGCTGGAGCGCAGTGGCACGATCTTGGCCCACTGCAAGCTCCACCTTCCGGGTTCATGCCATTCTCCTGCCTCAGTCTCCCAAGTAGCTGGGACTACAGTCCACCACCAACACGCCTGGCTAATTTTTTGTATTTTTAGTAGAGACAGGGTTTCACCGTGTTAGCCTAGATGGTCTCGATCTCCTGACCTCGTGATCCACCTGCCTCAGCCTCCCAAAGTGCTGGGATTATAGGGATGAGCCACCGCACCCGGCCATGCCACATTTTCTTAATCCAGTCTATCACTGATGGACATTTGGGTTTGTTCCAAGTCTTTGGTATTGTGAATAGTGCCGCAATAAACATACGTGTGCATGTGTCTTTATAGTAGCATGATTTATAATCCTTTGGGTATATACCCAGTAATGGGATCATTGGGTCAAATGGTATTTCTAGTTCTAGATCCTTGAGGAATCGCCACACTGTCTTCCACAATGGTTTTAACTAGTTTACACTCCCACCAACGGTGTAAAAGTGTTCCTATTTCTCCACATCCTCTCCAGCACCAGTTGTTTCCTGACTTTTTAATGATCACCCTTCAAACTGGTGTGAGATAGTATCTCATTGTGGTTTTGATTTGCATTTCTCTGATGGCCAGTGATGATAAGCATTTTTCTAAACATTTAAAATATATTTCTAAACAGAATGGGCCAACTCAGTCACAGTAACTGTTGATCTCTATAGCAGAGCAACCCACAAAGACAGAACTGATTTTTTTCCCATAATCAGGAGTGAAAAATATACAACTTGTTTCTGAACCAAAACCACAATTTCTGCAGTTTAAAATGTTTCACTGCTAATATGGCCCTGGTAGAAATTATGTATTTTTTTTTCTTATTTAAAAAAAAAAATTAAAACAATTTCCTAAGACACTGAATCCTCAATCTGGAATGTAGATTCTGAGCACACAGCAGCTCAGTTACCCTAAAAAATAAAGAAAAAATTCCCATCACCTGTCTCAGTAGGGCCTGAAAGGAAAGAAGTGGTGTGGGGAAACCCCTGCTTTAGTATGGAGAGTCAGGGCCCCTTGACCCAGACCGAGACCGTGAGTAGCCATAGCTGGTCCTTCTCTCAGGATAGATGTAGGAAGTTTCACTATCATGAGAGCAGAATTTGATGTCATCCAGTTTAGGCAGGGCATATTCCATGTCTTCTTTTCTGAGATACTCAACCATCCCCACACCATCCTTCTGCACGTGGGCATAACAGACATCCCAAACTGCTCGCATGTGATCCTTCAGGTCCTGGCAGCTGCCTGATGGAGGAAGTCCTGAAACAAGAACTCGGAAATCAGATCTTCTTGTAGAAGGTCAATTCCTCCCACCACAGGGCCACCCACCCCGACCTCCATAAGTCCTGGGGAACTCCACACGAAGCCAACACTGGCTATAATCATAACCATTTCTTCCATAAATAGCATCCTCTGCATCTCGGGGGTCCTCAAAGCGCACGAAGGCAAAGGGCACAAGGCCGTGCCAGTTCTTGAGCTCGATTTCCTGGATGCGGTCGTACTTGTAGAAAAAGTCTTCCAGGTCCTTCTCGCGCACGTCGGTGGGAAGGCCCATCACGTAGATGCACCCGTCACCCTCACTCATTCTCGCTCATCCGCCCAGCCCAACATCCGCACCGCCCGACGCAGCGTGCCCGCGGGCCGACCCGCCCCCGCCCCCGCCCCCGCCCCCGGCAGCGTCCCCGCGGGCTGTGAGGCGCTCAGTCGCACTGCATTGTGGGAACGAGGCGCAATTGTGGTACTTCTGATACAGCAGTGTAGGAAATGAAAGTAGCCAGGAGCAGAGAGAAAAGAGACAAGAGGAAGGGTTTGGGGTGGGAAAGTATGGACCCGGCTCAGGAAAAAGGACCAGTTGGATGGATGAGAAGGACCAGCGGAAAAGAGGTAGATGCCAAAACAAGAGCAGGGTGCCCTTGCCCTGCCTCCAGTATGTTTCCAAGGCCTAACCTCTCAGACCAAACTGATTCCAAGAACTGGAAGGGTCCCAGAGACTCCATAGATTGCCTCACAACAAAAGCCAGACCTGTCACTGAACCACTGAACAGCCATTCAAGGAAGTTATTAAACTCTAGTGGGATGAATAAAGATTTGAATAAGTGATCGCTTGCACTTGGCTGAGAGGAATAAGGGTAGTGCTGAGCCAATACACAGGTTTCTTTCTTTTTTTGAATCTCATACTTCATTTCAAAAAATTGAAATTTCAAAGGGAACATTTTGTCAAACTTTTTGAAGTGACAGCAAAATTCATCCGGAAAAAAAAATCAGTAGGTAAGAACTCCAAAGAATGTTTTTGAGAAAAGAAGGGAGTAATGATAGACAACTCACCCTATTGGACTTCAAAACATAAAACCACGAGACAATGATAAAAGCTGTTTGGTACCAAGTTAAAACCAGAAGGTCAAAGGTCATGGAGGGAATTTCATAAAAGGTCTAACTTGATAAATTAGGAACCAATAACTTATCTAAGGAAGAAAGAACCTCGCCCCCCCCCACCCCCAGTTAAATAAATGCTATTGAGACAACTGCTTTGCAGCACTTTTTTTTTTTTTTTTTTGAGATGGAATTTTGCTCTCATTGCCCAGGCTGGGGTAAACTGGCTCAATCTCAGGTCACTGGAACCTCTGCCTCCTGGGTTCAAGTGATTCTCCTGCCTCAGCCTCCCAAGGAGTTGGGATTACAGGCATGCGCCACCATGCTCGGATAATTTTTGTATTTTTAGTAGAGACAGGGTTTCACCATGTGTTGTTCAGGCTGGTCTCAAACTCCTGACCTCAAGTGATCTACCCGCTTCAGCCTCCCAAAGCCCTGAGATTACAGGCGTGAACCACTGTATCTGGCCAACAGCAAATAATTTAACTTGTATACATATTCACCCCAAAATAAATCCCACATTTGCTTAACAGTTGAATTATTTTTAAATACAAAAGAAGGGAAGATTTTATTAAGGTCATAAAATTATTAGCAACAATATGGCTAGGTTTAATTTGTATTTGTTTTTGTTTCTTTGAGACGGAGTTTCGTTCTTGTTGCCTAGGCTGGAGTGCAATGGTGCAATCTCGGCTCACAGCAACCTCCGCCTCCCAGGTTCAAGCGATTCTCCTGCCTCAGCCTCCCGAATAGCTGGGATTACAGGCGTGTGCCACCATTCCCAGCTAATTTTTGTATTTTTAGTAGAGACGAGGTTTCTCCATGTTGGTCAGGCTGGTCTCGAACTCCCAACCTCAGGTGATCCGCCCACCCCAGCCTCCCAAAGTGCTGGGATTACAGGCGTGAGTCACTGCGCCCAGCCCTTTTTTTTTTTTTTTTTTTTTTTTGAGACTAAGTCTCACTCTGCTGCCCAGGCTGGAGTGCAGTGGCGCAATCTTGGCTCACTGCAGCCTCGGCCTCCTGGGTTCAAGTGATTCTCATGCCACAACCTCCTAAATAGCTGAGATTACAGGCGTACACCACCATGCCTGGCAAATTTTTTGTATTTTAGTAGAGATGATGTTTCGCCATGTTGACCAAGCTGGTCTCAAACTCCTGGACTCTAGTGATTTGCCTGCTTCCACCTCCCAAAGTGCTGGGGTTATGAGTGTGAGCCACTGTGCCGGGCCTAGGTTTAATTTTTAAACTTTGGAATCTAAAAACTAAATTTATGAGAAGAATAAGGCAACTATACTAGCTTCCTAGAACCACCATAATAAAGAACCACAGGCCAGGGCTCACACTTGTAACCCCAGCACT